GGAGGGGCCTTGGTACATTTAATGCCTGAGCTAGACCATAGAATGACAGAATTCACAGAACATTTATTAGGATTCCGTACTTGGTATGGAGAATACCAGTACCGAGATTTAAGCAGTCCCTTCCCCCAAGAAGCTTGACCTCTAATCAGGAAAGACTGGAAGACATGGAGTGTTGGAGCCCAAGGGTCACAGAGATGCGCTTCTTTCCTGCCTGCTGTGTTAGTCCAGCACGCTTCACCCTATTCTCACTCCCCCTGGTCCCATGAGGTAGCTAAAGAAGCCTACTGAGTTCAATTCAATAAACATTTCTGAAGCTCCTATTAAGTGCCTGGCAGCGTTCAGCCCTGGGGATACAAAAAGAGGCAAATAGGACAGTCCCTGCCCTCGAGGAGCCTACAATCTAATGGGGGAAGACAACAGAGCACAGAAAAGGAGACTGGGAAGAGCGGGGAAGGGGCGGGGGGCATCATCTGGGGTGCCTAGGGGGGTACCTTGTTCCGTGGAGATGAAAGCCGGGGAGGCGGCGGAGGCAGAATGGAGAGTATTGGCAATGCCGCTTCTGCCCTCCGACCCTACAGTCACAGGGGAGAGAGGGCTGAAGAAGTCAGGATTGAGTTAGTAACCCGGTGATGAGATTAGACTGGAGGAGCTTATCCTGGGAGGGGCAGGCGTTCGGAGCAGTTGAACCCCGGCCAAGCTGCAGATGCCCCGAAGTCGCTTTTCCAGATCTCGGGGCAGTGGCCTCCTCCAAGTTTTTACAGCGGAAATTAAAGCCCCGCCTTTCCCCAGAGGAGGTAACACTCCTCCCGAAGGAGAGAAGCTTCCCAAGATAAGGGTGGGGTGTTGATTGAGTCGATGAATTGTCACCCCATCCCACTTAAAAGTAAGGAATGTAAGTCCCGATCAATCAATCCATCATAGGCTTTAGACTAAGTGCAAAAAAGTCCCAGAACCTGAAGAAACTAGATCACTCCTCCGGGATTATCTGTACAATTTCAAATTGGTTTAGAATGGATAATTACAGAGACTGGAGCCGGCGGGCGTTCCCGTGAAACCCCAGAGGGTAAAGGGGAGGGGCAGGGGGAGGGAGGGAGGACACTCCTCCCTGCAGGTCCCTCCCCAGCCCACCCGCAGTGGCCAAGCACTGCCCAGCCCTGCCGGAGCTTGGGTCCCTGGTTGCCTGGAAACCCTCCCTGAGCTTCCTCAGCGTTCTGAGGTTGCTAGGAGACGAGACGACGCCTGCCCAAGGGAGAGACCATGTGCAGCCCGAGCTCCGGGGGCGGACAACGTACCGGAGGGGTGCCGGTAAGCTCAGACTGCAGGGTCAAGATGGGGCCTGGGCGTGAGCCCCAAAAGTCTGAGGGTCCAGGCCCTCCTTTGGGATGGCCCAGAGCCCTGGACTCTGCTCTCACCGCTGCAGCTGTGGACTCGTGGACAAGGCCCTCCCCCCTTTAAGCCTTAATTTCCCCCTCTGTAAAATGGAAGGAGGGTGGGCTGTATGGACCCTAAGGCCCTCCCGGCTCTGACCTTCTGTGTGTGAATGTCTTTGACTGGCAATGTGGCCTTGTGACCAACTTTTGACCAGAGTCTGTGGAGCTGGTCATGGTCCTGGCTGCGTCCTGGGGCCTGAGCTGAGCCTCATCCACACGGAGGAGGAATCCAAGGACACATCCCATCCCAGTCATGGAGTTCCCTGACCCCGGCCAGTGGCCAGAAGAGCACAGAGACAGCTCAGCCCCCCGGCTGCTATCAGAGTGCACCCACACTCACTCTGAAGACCTACTGTGCGCTTCCTGAGGCAGCCCCTCTTTTCACCACAGGCCCATCTACTGGCTGGGAAAGGGCTTGAGGGCAGTGGTACAGAAGAAGCCCTAAGATCTTAACCCTCTGGTTGTCTGGGGAAGCCAATAGGCACTTCTCAGAGTAATGCTTTCAAATGCATAAAATAAAATACAGCCAGCCAAAGATTAGTGAAAATAAAGGTGTCCTTCTTTTCAGACCCCCTGAAATCTATCCACAGGGTAAGACCCCCTGCCATAGGGGATCCCACCTCAGAAGGAAAGGTTGAGCTCGACACTAGGAGGTCCCAGGGACAGGCCCCTGATACTGGGGCACACAGCACCCCAGACTCTTAGTGCCAAATACAGTCACACACACATGGCCATAGCTGCTATCTGTCCTTCATTCTCAAAGAGGACTATGACTTCAGGGAGGTGATGCCATGATGTGCAAGTGAATTGGATTTAAGTGAGACAGGACTGTGCAAAGTCACTAGCCTCACTTTCTTCTGTGGAGCCATCTGGGTGCAGTGGCCAGATATAGATCAGGACGACTGGAGTTGACCCAGGATGCACTGGGGGACCTTGGCCTTTTCAAGCTAAGGTCTTTAACAAGTCTCACTTAGACCAAGGCAACCCCATTCAGTGATTAAGACTTAAAAAAATAAGGCAAAGAATGGCTTCTTAAAAAAAAATTGATCTGGGAGGGGCAAAACAGAAACAATTATTATTTACATTCATTCTGAGCCAATCGGGGCCCAAACAGTGACCAAGTAGGGCTAGGTCTGGGACCAGAGTGATCTGGGATTAAGGCTGGTCTTTAAGAGAAAAAACCAGAACAAGAAAAAAGGAACAATTTTCAGAGATTAAAATTTACATTCCCTTTAGGCAGAGCACCTGCCGGTGAGAGTGTGATATGCTATGTGGACTGAGAAGAAAAGAAGTGGGGCAGCTAGGTGGTACAGTGGATACAGCACTGGCCCTGGAGTCAGGAGGACCTGAGTTCAAATCCGGCCTCAGACACATCATACTCACTAGCTGTGTGGCCCTGGGCAAGTTACTTAACCCCGATTGCCTCACCAAAAAAAAAAAAAAAAAGGATCAGGGAGGTGATGCCATCACATCAGTCAAACTGAGACCTGTTAAAGACCTTAGTTTGAAAAGGCCAAAGTCCCCCAGTGCATCCTGGGTCATCTCCAGTTGTCCTGATCCATATCTGGCCACTGGACCCAGATGGCTCCAGAGGAGAAAGTGAGGCTGGTGACTTTGCACAGCCCTGCCTCACTCCAATCCAATTAACATGGCTATAGAACCAGCTTAATAAATACTTGATCCCTTCTCTTCCCCCTTTCCCTCAGGAGGCCACTTGATTCCGCAGATGAGGGTCCCTGCCAGGGTCCCTGCCTGGGTCCCAGCCTCCACCCTCCACCTAGGTCCTCTTTCCACAGGTTTCCAAGTTGAGGGTTCGAGGGAGTTGGGAGACTGGGGTGAGTTCTCTCCTGGGCCCTCCTGACCTGCCCGGCCAGAAGCCAGGTAAGAGGTTCCGCACCCGACATTCCAGCAGGCGGTCTGTGTGTTCCTGGGTTCCACCCCCACCTCCCAGGCAGCATCCCAATGTCCAAGCACAGTCTGGAGGAGGGGTGATCGCTTGCTGGGAAGGCTGGGGAAGGCTCCTCCAGGAGAGGAGGAGGGGGATTCGATGGTCTCTGAAATCCCTTCTCACTCCAAAGACCAGAATTCAGAGAGTCTCCATTCTATGAGGCTGAGATGCTGTGCTTGGACTCTAAGAGTCTGTGGCCTTATCCCCTTACTAGACTTCTTGGGGTGCAGAAACCGCATCCCATTGGAACAGAGCCTAGCACAATGCCCACAACACGTGCTTCATACCAGCACGTGGTTTTTGTTCTATGATCTAAGATTCTGTGACCCTAAGGTTCTAGTATGTGATACTGACCATAAGGGTTAGAACACCTGCAGGGATCCTATGGACTTTGGGACCTCAGAACACTGGATGTCTGAGCTGGGAGGGGCCTTAGCACAAATAGTGTCAGAGCTGGGAGGGGAGGAAACTTAGAACAGGGAATGTCAGAGCTGGGAAGGGTCTTAGAGCAGAGGATGTCAGGGCTGGAGGGGCCTGAGAACAGGAAATGTCAGAGCTGGGAGGGATCTTAGAACAGGGAATGTGAGGGCTGGGAGGGGCTTGAGAACAGAGGATGTCAGAGCTGGGAGGGGCCTGAGAACAGAGGATGTCAGAGCTGGGAGGGGCCTGAGAACAGGGAATGTGAGGGCTGGGAGGGGCCTCAGAACAGAGAACGTCAGAGCTGGGAGGGATCTTAGAAGATGGGCACACTGAGGTGTGGACCTGGCCCGCAGGAATGTGAACCCAGGAATCCTGGTGCCTTGTTGGCTGGGAGGCTGCCAGTGACTGCCTAGAACAGACATTCCAGCACAGTCAGTCAGTTAACATTCACTAAGCCTCTGCTAAGTTCCAGGCACTGTGCTAAGCACATACAAAAACAAAGCCAATCCCTGCCCTCATGGAGCTTACAATCTAATGGGAGAAGACAGTACACAAAGGAAGTTGGGGGGTGATGGAGAGCTCCACAGTGCAGCTGGTGGAGACTGGAGAAAGACGCTGAGCCGCCTTTTTAGACAGAGGCCCCATGCTCCTGCCCTGGGGTCTTCCCAAAGCTGAGAAGTTGCTTCCCAGGAGCTGGGTCAAACAGAAAGGGAGAAAAGCCCCCCACCCACCGCACACGCTCACTTCCCCTGTGCCCCCAACACCAAAGGCCTGACACCCCCCCCCCACTGCTCTACCCCAGCTGCCCTGCCTGGCAGTGCCAAGGATGCCCCACCGGGGGGTCCCGGGCTGTCCTGCCACCAAGAAGAATATGTCTGGAGGCTGACCCAGCTCCTGGGCGCAGCGCCCCCTGGTCGAGGAGAGCTCAGCCCCTGCAGCTCGGACTCCATCTGTACGGAGGACTTCGCTGCCCGCTTCCAAGAGGCCATGGTGGAGGCGCTGCCGCCCGAGGAGCAGGAGGAGGAGCGGGCCTGCGCCAGGAGCCCAGAGTCCCTGGGGGGCCACATTTCCCGGCTGAGCCAGGGCTCTCCTCCCCAGTCACTCAGCTCCCCGGGCCACCAGCAGCCGCCCAAGGAGGAGCTCTCCTCACTCCCAGGGGACCCCAGCCCCAGGTTGGGCCCCGCAGCACCAGGCGCTGCAGGGCCTAGATCTCTGCCCCACTTGGGGGGCCCATTCCCTAAGAAGCGGGGACACAAAAGAGATTCTGGAGTTGGGCCGGCGAGAAGCCAGAGTGGGGGCCCTGAGGGACCCGGCCTCCACACTGGGAGCAAGAATCCTCTGCTCCCTCTTCCCGCTTCTCTCCACGACAGAAGGGTTCACTGGGCCCCAGAGCCATCCCTGAACATCCTGCGCGATGGTCCAGCCTGGGAGGCCCCAGCACTGAGGCAGCTGTCTAGGCCTTTGGCAGGTAAGGTGGGTCCTCTGCCCCAGGCCTGGGAGGGATGTGGGGGCGCCTGGTCCTGTTCTCTCTACCCTGTTCCTTTCTCTTCAGGACCCCAGGACCCCAGGCTGTCTCTGGGTAGGCTCCCAGCATCTCCCTGCAACCCTGGACCTCTCTTCCCATCCTGCCCACTGGGATACCCATCTCCCAGCTCCCAGAAACAAGAGCCCAGGTGAGGCAGAAGAATGGTGGGGAACGGCCTGGGACTGCCCTGGGAAAGGAATGGAGACTTCTGAGCAGCTTTCTAGCGTCCTGTGCTTTTCTAGCCTTCGCCACAGACAGGGGCTTAAAAAGGAGCAGGAAACCCCAGGGGACCCCAAGCCCTGGAAATGGAGCAACAAATTGGAAAGGAGGAAGGTGAGACCTTCCCTCATATCCCGAGGGCCCCAAGCAAGGAAGCTCACTCTGACATACTTTTAGGCCTTGACCTCCAAGGCAGAGCTGGGGCTCCCGGCTCCCGAGGGGCCTCCTCCCTACTCTCCCATCCCTCCCAAAGCCCTCATATCTGCCCTGGGAAGAGGGATCCTCCAGGATGAGCCACATTTAAACCCCCAAGCCCAGGACTCCAGATAGGGGATGAGCAGGAAGAATCCCACAGACTCAGGAGTAGAGTGGGCAGTGAAGACAGGAGAAACCAGGGGTGGGCCTTCCAATCATGAGACCAATGGGTGGTGCAGTGGAGAGAGCTTTGGACCCGGAGTCAGGAAGACCTGAGTTCAAATCTGGCCTCAGTCTCCCCATCTGTAAAATGGGGAGAATAATAGTAGGTATTGTGAGGATTGCATGGATGACCTCAGGTCTTATCACTGTTATCCCCTTCCCACTGGGAAGCCAGGATGAGGAGATCCTGAAGAACAGGGAGGAGTGGGTAGCTGGGGGCACACGCAGAGCAGGAAAGGAAAAGCCCAGGGTCTCTCCTCAGGATGGAGGCCCTGGGCAGCTTGGAGTTACGGGGACTACGAACACCAGGCACAGAGTAGCCTGGGCAGATGCTGGCACACGTGGGAGACGGCAGCAGCTGATGCCCAAGCCTCCAGCCAGCGTGGAAGCCCCCAGGCCCAGGTAAGCCCCAGGACCCAGGCCCCCATGGACATGAGCCCCACACACACTGCTCTGTGGGGCTTAGGCTTCCCTAGGCATTCCACTGGGGCAGAACCCTAGTGCAGGCAGGAGAGAGGTAAACAAGCAAAGGTTAGCCCTGCCTCACTCTGATCCAAGGGGCTGGGGAAGAAATCCCGGCCCAGAGACAGGAAAGGACCTGTCCAAGGTCACACAGCAAGCTCGAGCCTGTGTCCCCCACCCCCCACTCCCAGCTCTGTCATCCAGGAGGTGGGAAAAATGACCATCTCTTCTCTCCCAGGAGTCCTGGACCAGGGCTGAAGCTCCTCGGGGCCCTGCTCGAGGCTGCCCGCCGCCGCCTCCGGGATGTGATTCAGCAAGCTGAAACCCTGCAAGAGGCCATGCGGGAGCTGCAGAGGCACAGGGTGGGGCCCAGGGGGAGAGAAGGAAGGCCAAGCTCTCCGGGGGCCACAACCATAGCGAAGCAGTGCTAGATTCCGTTTCCCCATCTGTGAGATGGGTGGGTTGGACCCAGAGGTTCTCAAATGCCCTTCCTAGGCTTCCATCCTACCACAGGATGCCCACAAAACCAGACCTGGGTGGTCCTATTTCACAAGTGGAGATGCTGAGATTCAGGGAGGTCTGGAGGTTTCCCCACAGTCACACAGCTTAATCTATCTGAAAGCCAGGTCTAGAATCCAGGGCGAACTCTGCTCACTGCTTGGCTAAGTGCAAGGGGGTGCTAAAGCTCCCACTGCTTTCTCCCCACCCCCATTACAGCTGGCATCCATGCCCGGTGGCTGCCAGGACCCAGAGTCTTCTGCCGCAGGCCAGGAATACAATGTGGATGGAGGAGCAGGTGAGATGGTACAAGGATGGGGGCTCCCCTACCCTGAGAGAGAGACAGAGAGAGACAGAGAAACAGAGAGAGAGACAGAGAGAGACAGAGAGAGGCAAAGAGAGAGACAGAGAGAGAGAGAGAGAGAGAGGGAGGAATTGTCAGGTCAGAAAGGGTCCTGCTTCAGGTCCCAAACCACTTCACCTCTGGGACCCTCAGTTTGCTCCTCTGTAAAATGGGGGTGAGGCTACCTCAGCATGACTTAGAAAGAAAACATACATTGGTAAACTCTAAAAGCATCTGGAATGGAAAGAGACATACCATTTTCAGATGAGGGGACTGAGGTCCGGAGAAGGGGAGTCACTGGACAGAGGCCAGAGTCACTTCCAGAGTGGCTCCTGCGCCCCCAAGCTTTGGGAAGCAGGAGCGAGAATCCACAGCCCGGGGTCTGCCCCCAGCATCCCCCAGCCTGGCCTGGTCAGGCCCACTCTCAGAGGGGCCACTGGGGTGGGACTGAGGAAGGGCCCACCTGTCCATCAAAGCAGGCTTCCAGAGGGCCCAAGCCTCAGCCTGGGGGGATTCATGGGACGGCAGGCCTTAGCCCTGTCCTTAGCCTGAGAGTCCCAAGAAAACCAGGCAGAGAACTTTCTGACAGAGACCGTGAGGACCAGAAGGGCAGACCCCCAGAATATCAAAGCGGGAAAAGACTTTAGTGTCCTTTGAGTCCAGTCCACACCCAACTGTGCATCCTGTCAACAAGTGGACAGCCCGTGTCTGTTTGAAGACCCCCAGTGACGGGGAGCTCACCACCTCCCCAAGCAGCTCTTTCTGTTTGGGATTGGTTCTCATAGTTAAAAAATTTTTCCAAGCCTCAGGTCAAAAACGTTGTCTTTGCAACTCCCCCTCCCCCTGACCCTCCCACCCACCCAGGGGTCCTGGTTCTGCCTTCAGGCACCAAGCAGGACGAAGCTAATCCCTCTTTCCCATGGTTAGCCCTTCAAATGCTGGAAGATGGCTCTTCCGGCTCCCCGAGGTTTCTCCAGATTCCCGGGCCTTGGTTCCTTCAACCCTCCCTTTTCAGGCCCTTCCCTGTCCTGGTCACCCTCCCTCAGAGGCCCCCCAGCTGATTGATGGCCTTCTTAAACCGTGCTGACCAGATCTGAGCGCAGTCTTCCACTGTGGTCTGACCAGGAGAGAGGCCCCTGGGATTCCCATCCCCCTCACGCGGAGCCTGAGTCCTCTGCTAATTCAGCCGAGGGCCTCATTAGCTTCTGTGGCCGCCGCATCACGCCGTGAATGCAGTCCACTAAGACCCCCAGATCTTTTTCTAGCCCAATGTGCTCTAGCCATGCATCCTACATCTTGTGACCTTGTCCTTTCCAACTCACGACTAAGAGGAGAGAGCACCAGAGATGGAGCCAACGGAGCTCGATTCACCTTCTGGCCCGGCTCTGACACCGTGGACAAGTCGTTTCTCTCGGCCTTAATTTCCTCATCTATCAAATGAAGAGTTCCGTCTCTGACGGCCCCTCCAGCACTAAATCTGCGGTCCTGTAAACATTCGTCTCTGTTAAACTTTCCCATTAACAAGCGCTTGTTATTCCTCATTCCCTACCTCCTCTCCCCCACTGAGAAAGAAAGAAAAACAAAGCCCTCTTTTGGGCAGACGTCCGCAGTCAGGCATTTCCACGTTGACCGGTCCAGCAGTGTGTGTCTCACTCTGCCCCCTGAGCCCACCGCCTCAGTCGGGAGATGGGTGGCAGGCCTGGGTGGCAGGCCTGGGTGGCCCCGCGCTCTGGAATCAGAGTTCGCGTTCATCTTAATCCACGGCTGCTTTGGTGACGCGGGTGTCCTGGGTGGGCTCACCGACCTCGGGCTGCATCAGGGCACGTCCTCCTCCAAAAGTCTGACCTCACTCCATTCGGTCTTTCTACCTCCCGTTCTCCCGGACTGTGTGCTGTCCGGGAATCTGAGGAGGATAAGAATGAATCACTGAGGAAAGGCCGATCCCTGGGGCACCACGCCGGGCATCTCCGCAGTGCCATTAATGACCACTCTTTCAGTCTGAGGATTCAGCCGATAGATCCGGGTCCTGTATTGTCTGGCCCTTGGTTCTCCGTTTCCACGAGGATAGCAGGCCAAAAAGAGGGCTAGACCATCAGGACGCCTCAGAGGACCTGGGATCCCCCGGGGTCTGGGGGAATCTGTGGAAGTTTCCCTGGGGAAGCAGGCCAGAAGCTAAGACTTAACAACGTGAAGAGCTGAGAGGGTACTAGAGGGGCTGGGGAAGCGGGGAGACACCACTAGCACCCTGAAACAGGACAGGGACCTCTGTGAGTACTCACACCCACACAGACATCCCCTGTTCTAAGGCCCCTCCCGGCCCTGACATCCCCTGTTCTAAGGCCCCTCCCGGCCCTGACATCCCCTGTTCCAAGGCCCCTCCCGGCCCTGACATCCCCTGTTCAAAGGCCCCTCCCGGCCCTGACATCCCCTGTTCTAAGGCCCCTCCCGATCCTGACATCCCCTGTTCCAAGGCCCCTCCCACCTCTGGCATTCATTCCGTATTGTATCACTATCCCATCAGTAATTCTCTCTTCCCCATCGCTTCTCCAGATCTGGCTCCAAAAGCTGGTGCAGAAAAATTAAGCCACTGAGCCCTCAGACTTCCTGACTCATAATTCTGTGCTCTCCAGGGCGGGCAGGGATTATGTGGCTGGGGAGACAGAGAGGATGGACAACGAGGTTGTGGTGTTCAGAGTGACCACAAGAGGGCGACAGAGGAGGCTCCAGACTGGGGCCAGGAGATGGAGAGAGATCGACATGATTCTCTGCTTCCTCCCCATCCCCCAAACAAGGCAGTGGCCTGGGTCACCCACCTCCAAAGGACTGCTTAGCCATGAAAGTCCCAATTATAATCAATCGGGGCCCTAGAATGTCTGAACTGGAAGGAGGCCTAATTCCAGAAACCCTCTGCAGGCCACCAATGTAGCTGTTAAAGTGGTGGGGAGTGGGGGGCTCATCTTTGGAGAGACCTCTGGTTTGGGGGTAAGGAAGGAAGCCTGGAGGGACCCCAGAAGGGCTCTCTGTTCCCTCGAAACTCTGACATTCCCTGTTCCAAGGGCCCTCCCGGCTCTGACATTCCACATTCTAAGACCTCCCAACTCTGATCTGTTTTCAGCTTCCTCCAGTGGGAATGGGGCCGCAGAACGTCAAAATGGAAGCCAAGCCCAAGCAGAGACATGTGGCCCAGCACGGCCTGGCCAGACACCCCTGAGTGCTCCTCCAGCCTTTGCTTGACCGGGGAAGCCCCAGGCCTCCTGCGGCGGCCCAGGCTGCTTTGGGACCCCTCCTGGTTAGGACAGCTCCCTCCTGGTTAGGACAGCTCCCTCCTGGTTAGGACAGCTTCCCGGGGATCACGGGCCCCTCATCCTTCCCTCCCGCCCATCCTCCGGAGGCGTCTCCTGTCCTAGATCCCAGCTTCTTCTGGTCCTTGCTCGGTTGGGGCCCCACATCTGGGGCTGCTCTTGTCCTGGCTCTCCCTGCCTTGGCCCAGCAGAGGGTCGGGGCAGTGACTGCTCCATCCTTAAAGGATCCCCGGCAGGGACCGGAAAGGGCCAGCGTTCTTCCATAGCACTGTTCCCTCAGTCTCTGCTGGGGAAGCTCTCTGCGTCTCTGCCCCTCCCAGCAAGTCTCCGGCCCCTCCGAGGCTCTGCTGGGGTCGGGGAAGGGGCTCTGTCCTTGGCCCCATGGGCAGAGGAATCCTGCGAAGCCCAAATTGGTCTCTGACCTGACTCTGGCTCTTCTGGGGAACCCCTCGCCTTCCTCGAGTCAGTGACCCCGTGACTGTACCTCCCTGGGGCCTGCCTCTGTCTCCCCCAGCCCAGAGCTCCCCAGGACAGGGAGGGCAGGCAGGCTGTCCTAGGGGCCCAGCCCAGGTTAATGAGCGCTGACCTTTCCCATAAACAATGTGTCCCAGGCCCCTAATCAGCCCATTGTCCTCAGCGCCTGCTGGGAGGGACTGGAGAAGGAGGGGCAGGACGGGCCTTTTGCTGAAGAGGCACAAATTCTCTGCCCAGGCCACACTTCACCCCGCACCCACCCACTCCCTCAATTGAGAACTGCTCCAAGCCC